TAAGTTGTGCTTTTCCTCTGATCAACTTTCGAGATAAATTTCAAAATGAATTGATTTAATTAGAACTTGTTTATTTGATCTTCCTGGACCACTATTTTAATGTTCACATTAAGAGTCGAGCTCAGTAACTGTGGTTTCAAGCATCAACTAATTATTCACCAAGTTATTGAGTATAGTTAGCAACTGATGTGTTTAATGGGTATGAAAGTAACTGTAAGAGTTTGAATTTTTCTTCTGTTTATACTCAGGTCTGTAGCTGATCATTCTATCATCCAATCCCAAATAAGAAGAAGCGGGTGTTGCAGGTTCCACCGCTAGTTTCGATCCAAATGAACAAAAACTTGTAACCGAAAGGCAATACAAAGTAATCCGCTCAGGGCGCAATAAAAACCGATCATGTTCTGTCCTTAATACCAATAACAGAAAAATACAAACTGTTACAAATAGTTATAAATAAGATTAAGATAATATTCAATTCTGGTTTTTTATAATTACTTCCTTGACCTATCAGAAAATAACAAAGATGTATTCAAGATAATCAAGTCTGTAAAATAACAGTTAAAAGTCTTAAGCAGCAATTCCATTAAAAATGTTTAAACTTTTAAATAAAGAGTTGGGTTGATATTTTATGTTCGACAGACCTTACTATGCTTTTAAACATTCTATTTAATTTAAGTATCCCGTAAGTATTTTAATGTTTTATTGACTTAAATTATTTTGATATGTAACGATAGGGATTTAAAGCATAGTGGTAAAAAACATGATTCTAATTCCTGTCTCTAACTTCTAACTCGAGATCCTGACCGTAATACCTTACAATAATCTATAACTCCATCTCGACCCTAGCAAGTAGTTGGACTTTTGCAATGTCACTCCAATATCGCCCATAGGTCATCTATAAATTTTAGTCTCGTCAAAAAGTCTGCATAAGTTCCCGAATTTTGCATGTCCAATGTTCTTTCAAACGAATAAAAAACTGTGAAACTAAGTAAAGGGTCCAAAACAGTAAGGTCATTGGTGTTAAATCTAAGTATTTTTAACACGTCTCCAAAATGTTCATGATTATACATTGTATACATTTCTGAAACTAAGGAAAATACTCATGACGTTTATAGCAGCTTTAAATGGTGCTTTAGATAATATGGATGTAAAAACTCAAGACTGTTAACCTACAATATCTATTTTAAGTAATGACCGAACACTATATCAGAGTGGTAATAATGAAATTTGACTCACAGTATGTGTTTGAAAAAGTGATTGTATTTCATTCTATTCAAAAAACAATTTGGCCAATAAACATGAAACCCTACTTCTGTTATTTCATAACTTAATTTTACTGTATCCAAATATTATAGTGTTGAATATCATTTATGTATCTTTGTATCATTAGTGTTATAATAATGAAAGTTGTAAATAAATGAAATAATTGATTACCAATTACTTCACTGTTTTATGCCTCAGATACTAAATCATTTTTCATGTTACATAATCATCAGTCAGATCTTAAGTTACTTATTGATTCTGATTATTAATTTCATAATTCCAGCTAACCTATAAACATATTCAATCTAATATTACATACTGATTATTTTAAAGTAAAGAATTTACCATATTTTACCAACAATCCTAAATTCATCAGTTATAATTTTGATTTAAAATTGAATATACTTTCGGAACATCAATTCTGATCGAAAACTGAAGACCCTGAAGAGAATATATTGAAAAGACTATTCTTTGTACAGTTAGTTGTGTTTTAAACCAAAGTGAATTCTTACAATAGTGCTAATTTATGTGGTTGGAAGGTACTGGTATGATAAGTTATAGATAGATTTTTTTATTAATAACTTTATTAACTACGAAAAGCCAGCGTATACATTAAAGTGTAATGAAGTAGTTGATATTTCATTAACATTGCTGTTTTGAACAAAATTGATTTACTCACTTACAGGCGTAAATATGTAAAATCTCAATGTACACTCTGTTTAATGAATAGTTTTGTATATTGTCTTTGTGGTGTGTGCTACTGATGTCGACAGATATAACTAGTGTGTATCATCAATCGAAAGTGAAATACCTGGCGATGAAAGGTTAAGAAGATCGAAGAAAAAAGAAGGCGAACAAAGAATGATTGGTGTGAAAAATTAAAAAACAATGGAGTATGGAACGATCAATTGACAGTTTGCAAATGAAGTATTTACTGCATGGTTCTGAGATTTTACTAAAATGTTTTGTAATTTTGTATTCAAATACTTTCGATTGTCCCCACTTGTGTTCTCGTTCACTACACCTTTAAATAATGTATTTTTTAGAGGCAACATATTGAAATATACCGCTAAGGATTGATATCATGCGCTAGTATGCTGTTGTACACGCGGGCACATCTATAATGGAGTTGCTGATGGTCAAATTTTCTAAACTTGCATATATATATATATATATATATATATATATATATATATATATATATATATATATATATATCTTGCTCGTTAATCTTCCAAATGATGATAAAGCATTTTAGTGACTGGAAAATGAATCTTTCCTACAGAAAACATGACTATGATTCAGTCGTATATAAATTAATCACTGTTGTGTATATACAGTGGTTATTTACTTTGAAACAATGTGTTCATTACATAATTATTATCTGTTATTCATTTACATTAATTTTCGCTACCTGTTTCTCGCTAAACAAAATCATCAGGCAAAAGTGAGAATTCAGAATACATTGACGAAACACATTGGAAAAACATTTAGAAGGTAGTTTTTATAATGGTCTGATATTCTTTGGAAAACCGTTAACTGCCACTGTTATTTAGCTTTTATTATGTTTTTTTCCAGCCAATTTCAAATCATGAAGCAACTTACCCTCTCCCAACTATGTTAATAGACACTAAATGATTTAGAGATTCATAACTGAAAGAAGAAATAACTTTCTGGATTTTTGACAATTACATGAATTCTATTTGAAATGAAAATACTTTCGAAAAGTAAACCTGTTTGGTTCAATAATAGTAGCTGTGAATCCTATTATTCAGAAATTGCAAAGTATGAGTGTAAAATCTTTGCATTTGTTTTCTTTTTCAAAGTTAATTATCCGGTATACTAATAAATTTAGAATGGCCATATTTCATTAACAGGATTGTCATAACTTAACCATGGTGTTTGTTTTAGTGTTTTGTAAACGACTTTTGTACAAATATATCGTACCTTTGATTATTTGTATAAAGACTGGATTTAGTAGTCACGATCATGAACTTATAACAAACGCTTTTAAGAACATAACAAAAGGGATTAAATGAAGATATTTATGTGCATAGAGTTGTATTTATTAGAACATGGGGTAACTACTTTTATTGTTGTTTTAATGTGCCTAGATATACTTTTTCTTGTTATAATAGCCAAATTTATTGAAATAATAATAAATTATTCATCTTCTAACACCATTACAACTCAGTGTAGTAAATCAAACATTAAAACCATTAGTTTTGGACACAATTGTTTGAAATTATGAAATAATTCACCATCTAATTGTTAACCAAATCAATTTCATTTTAAACATTCGAAATAAAAGATATTCACGGAATAATTTTGAATCTTGTCTATATTATTTGTTGATAGTGACCATTCATTATTGTTCAGTAGACTAGAAAAAATGTTCTTAGCTGACAACTAAAACTAAGCTACTTTTTTTAACACTTATACCTACAACATCAGATATATTATAACTGTTTATCAAACAATACAATACCTTTATTCATTTTGTCAAGTGGCTAATGTTTGTATTGAATTACGATGAATAGTTAGCATTAAGTTTCATGTACTGAGTCATTGATATATTAAACAAATGATATTCATCTATTTGTTTCAGTAGGTCACATTCTGACATTATAAATATATGTATATATATAGCTAACTGAATCTCTGTACTGCATTTCATTTAAATTGTCAATAGTATTGACAAAGATCAAACACATTTTATTTTGATCGTGAAAGATTTTAAAAAAAAGTGAATTAAAGAAGTTATAATCAAACTCAAATTGCCCGTGATTAATTGTAATGAGTTGCAATAAAATGGTTTTTAATTAAGTACAAATCATATAAGTGGATGTCAAAGATTAGGGCATCAATTGTATATTAAGGATCTGTTCTCTTATAATCATTCATCATCTTTCGTGCCAAGAAATTTTTTGATCATAATTTATAAAGGAATCTTTAAAATAAATTAACTAAATGAAAAATGGTCATAAAATTAGCACAAAAGTTTGATGAATTTGAGTGTTGTGATTTATTGTGTTCGAAGTCTGATATTTGTACACAATGCGTAACGCTCTAACCACCCACCTGACTATTTGAGCGAGAAAATGTGTTGACCTACCGAATGAAATGCATAAATACTCATTGACATATATACTGCTATATCCTTAGGAAATTGACCTATCGACCCCATTGAAAAGGACATTTAGGTCACTTCCGATTGTTATCGATTGACTTTCTCACTACGAGTCTTCTGATTGGCTCTCCATATCAATGTGACTCAGGTCAATGATTGAATAAAAAAAAAACAAAATAACAATCTGCAAAATATTAAGAAAATTGACCAATTTAAACAAATAGTTGAGAACTTAGTGAATCGTAAATAAAAATATACTCCGTTGTTAATAGTAATATGAAGGACTAATATATTGAGGTCATTGTTACCTATTATTTTATGCAAAATGGATTTTAAGATGACTGTGAAATTCAATTAACAGCTAATTATAAAGATTATTGAAACTTTATACAGAATCACTTAAAACAGGTTATAATGTTATTTGATAAACGATAATTACATGAGTTCGGCATACACTATATATATATATATATCGGCGGATATATTTTCAATATTCCTTACTGACCAATCACATCTTACTGTTTCCGATCAATAAAAAGTAAGTAGAATTATGCGTTTCATAAACCTACGTATAAAACAAGAAACCATTTTTTATGTGTAGAGCTATGAAATGTAGAAGTATCAGATTGTTCAGAATGAGATTTTTCATTGTATACTTCAGTCTATGCTTTATGATTACATCTCTCTTATTGATAAATTTACTAATTTGGCCAACTGTAGACATCACATTAATAAAATCAGCAATTTTGAAAAGAAAAACTAAAGTACAAGAAAGCGAAAGTAATCAGACATCTAATGAATCACAGTTCGACTGTTTATTGGAATTACAAAATGAGTTACGTAATCTTTATTTAGTTGACAATGTTCAATCCGAGAAACTAACTCGTATAAAATTAGAGAATTCTCCATACTTCAGTACACAGCAAACATGTCAAGAAATCTGTGATAAACTACCAGTAATACCAATAAACATATCTCATAAATACACTCCAATCGGTAATCTTTCTGTTTCTAAAGAACTGGTAACAGACTTGTATAAAGTGATCAGTTTAAACAAACCACATATAAAAGGTGGCGGTTGGACATATAAAACATCTGATAAATGTAAAAATAATATTGGAAAATATAATCAAACTGGCGTCGCTATAGTTATAGCATTTCGTGATAGATGGGCTCAACTAACAAGTGTACTATCAACACTAATACCTATGTTACGCCGTCAAAGATTATGTTACCGAATATTTGTTATTGAAGAAGCTGGAAATGATTTATTTAATCGAGGTATGATTTTCAATGTTGGTTTCATGGAAGCTATGAATAGATTTCATTTTGATTGTGTTATTTTTCATGATGCTGACTTAGCTCCAATAAATGACTTGAATCCTTATGGATGTGATAAACAAACATTCATACAACCAATTCATCTTGGTGTTGGTTTAGATATTAGAAATTTTCGTCTAAATTATCCAGAACTTATTGGTGGTGTATTAAAAATATCAAATAAACATTTTGTACAAGTAAATGGACATTCTAATCTATATTGGGGTTGGGGACAAGAAGATGATGATTTAGAAAGACGATTAAAATATGAAAAAATTAATTATTATCAAATGTCTCCAAGTATTGCACGTTATAAAGCATTACCTCATGAAACACAAAATAAAGAAGGGAATCCACGAAAAATTCATTTAAAACTTTTATCTACAGCTGTACAACGAATGCATCATGATGGACTATCTTCATTAAATTATAAAGTATTAAAGGTTATTGAACATCAATTATTTACACATATATTAGTTGATTTAGGTAATCAACCAAAATTTTATAATTGTAATTAATACAAAAATGAATCTTATTTATTGGTTAGTAACAATATTCTTATAAGAGATATTATGAAATAACCATTATAATGCAATAATCCAAAGTAAGATGATAAATCTAAATAAATATTTCATTATAATTAACAATATTGTTAATGAATATAGACCATTTATTGAGTATAAACATTCAATTTATAATTTACTTCTAAAATGTATTCATATTACTTAAAGAAACAGTGATGATGAGCCTTAAGATTTCGAGTTTTTTTTTCTCTCCTTTTTTTCTTTCTTTTTTGTTCTTTCCTTTCTAACCATTTTAATGACAAGTTATGTATATAATAAACATTATATTGAATTTCAAGTATCAATTATTCTTAATAAAGATTTCAGTCTAATATCAATATTTAGGGCTTTTGTTAGATAAAAAAATGTACTGATTACGTATTTTTGGAAGTTCTAGATATTCTGTATGAAAAATTTGACTATTATTTACTAACAAACAGCGTTTAGTAGTATATATATGTATTATATAATACAATATATAAAATAGTGATTAAGATAATCACTTAACATTTGAAAGTAATTACAACAAAATTAACGAATTATTTCACAGAGGGGTTTTGTTGATATTATAGTAATTTAATAGTTGAGACTGGTAGGACATGGGTTCTAATCTTGCGAAGTGGAATCGTGGATGCACATTACTGAGGAGTCCTATACTAGGATTAAATGGCCGTCCAGTGCTTCCAGGTTTTCAGTGGTGGTCTAGCTTATATCGACTCATGAATTCAACTGTTAAAATTACTACAATCTCCATAAACCCCTATTCTGATCAGAATTATATTTTATCTACTACTTCCAAATTCTTCAATTCTCATCAAAAGAATCCTCCATTATATTGATTCATTTGATTGTGGCTATTTAGGAGTAACTGAACAGTCGATAATCTACAATTAGTTTTGTATCATTCAACTAGTTTGTTCAGAAGATAATGTATATCCATTAATTTCCCTTTCTTCACCTATTTTTCTCAATAAGGATCCATTTTCTGTTCAGTAGTTGTATCTTGAAAAAATCGATTCTTTCCTGTTTGTTTAAACCAACAAGTAATTAGGATAAGTAGTTTATTGACAATAATATTAGCAACAACAATGGGAATAATTAGAACACTTTCTATCACTATAGCAAAGTTTAACAACATTACTTAAAAGTGAATAAAATCTACTATTTAATTTTGAGAGCGGAGTTATTGTAAGAACAAATTTACAACAATCGATTAAACACTTAATGAACAGCAAGCACTACTTCGTTTTATTGCAATGAACGGTAAACTGATTGAAAATATCTAATATGTGTGTGTGTGTTTATGTGTTAAACAAATGTTATTATACAGTTACAAAACATTGTATTTAAGGGAATGGCCAATATGGTTTTCAATTTAAATCATTACTAGGCTTTGCACCTATGTACAGTAATATTTTCATGTACATATGAGAAATATAAACCAATCAATACTGTGTTTAAGTTAAAAACAGCAGTGAAATAGATCAGATGACTAAACATAGTAAGTTAAAGGTGATGACAAGATGACAGTTATAGCAGGATTTATGGTAGTAACATTATTCATGATAACATGAACAGATATTTTGAAATAGGAAAACAGATTGGAATTTAGGAAAATAAACTACTTGGTAAAAGTAATAATTCAAAGGGAAGATTGATTTAGTTTGTTGATGATATTCGTCAGTCAACGAAACTCGTTTACAACTTTAGTCACTCTAACTATTTACCACGATAATCGTCTAACTCCAATAGTAACAACTGTTATGCCCTCGATATTTCAGAATTTCTTATCGTGAATTCTTACTATGATTTTAGAAATGCATCTCGAAGTATGTCATCAACTTAGATATTCAAGTAGTAAGGAAGAAATAAGGATGGAGGTAAAGAAAAACAAACAATTTGAAAAGCTAGTAGGATCAGTCTAATAAATCTTTTTTGGATTGGGGAGAAACAGGAGTATAAAGGTCTTCTTTTGAACATAAAATCTCATATTGTTATAAGAGACGTGGTTAAATTCAGTTGGATAAAGCGCCAAGTAATTGATTATTCACTCTAAAAAGTTCAGCTCTTTTTTTCAAACCATAAAGAGAGTTGCTCATTATATTGTTGAATAAGCTGAATAATTATGGCTTCAATTGGATTTTCTGCACAAGAGAAGATGAATTGTTAAACACACATGGAATTGGCGAAACTAGGAAACCAATTTTTAGCTGATCAGGAAACAATGATTGACTGGAAAGCGATAAGAAATAGCCGTATAAAAATTCTTTTTAGAACTCAGAATAATTTGCTATTTAGGACATGGCTAGCCATGTATAGTAGATCCATTAAAAATGGTTTTAAGCGAATAGTTTCTCTCTGAATTTCAGTGCTGTGTATATACGTGGTTCTTGAAAAATCTTTAGGCTTATTTCATTTAAACCCAAAAGTTTTCAAAAGGTTCAGTTTTTTAGGACATAATATAAATATATATTTCTCGCGCTATTCGTAAGACTTTGCCAACATTTCTTTTTCAACGAATTGATATGAAGATAAAGAAATATTGATATTAAAATGTACGCGAATTCTCGCCACAAGCATTTCTGTTAGTCGGCCGACAATAATGCATCAAACAAATGCAATTTTTTATAGTTCTTTTTCCACTGAAGTAAGGTTGATTGTTAATTTATCTTAACAGTTTTCATTTCAGATCAACCGTGAGGAGTAAAATATACTACTCTGTCTATTACTATCTCTAATTTGACAACTGGCTTTTGCTTGCTAGTGTTTTCTATTTCAATTATACTGCAAAGACTTGTTATTCATATATTAAATTTTTAAAAGTGGTTCTCTCGATTAAGTAAAATTAACACATATTGTGGAGTAAAATGATTTTGTTTTATCTGCCCTTCTCTAATTCCTTTATGCATACGTATAATCAAATATAATTACTTTATAACCACTTATAAAAGATTTGTTTGATGTTGGATCTTAACTAATAGTTTTCTCTAAGACATAGTTATGATTTCATTCAAGATTCTTCGTTTGAATGTACCATTGTCTCAGTTTTGTCCTTCATAAATAGATATTATTTTAAAGGCCAGTAGGTTATTCTCTAAGCCATAGATTACAATACCCATGAAGTTGTTCAGCACATGTGTTATTTATTATTGGTTTCAAGATTAATTATTGCCCTATTGTTAATATCATGTACCGACTGAATCAGTTTGCTCATAGACAAAATTGCTATACTGATAAACTGATGAATCCTAAGTAGGAAATGATCTGCCTCAAAAGCTTTTTTGTTGGTTGCTATCAAAATTGAAAATAAGGCTATATCAAGGCACTAGTATAAACAAATTCAGTTCCAACAGAAGCCTGTCGAAATCATTTCTGAATAATAACAGTAGAAAAATATCTACTGTTACTAATAATAAAACTCAAGCTTTCAACATCCGAATTCAAACTGTCACTAATAAGATCAAGAATATAATGATTTGTTTAATACATAAAGAAAATGAAATTCAAATTAAATGGTAAGTAGAGAATTTACTACTGATAAATTTAGGAACTATTTTTTATTCAGGTGCCCTGATTCTAATTAAAATACTGAAGATATCAAACAAATAATTGTTAAAGTTAATTTTAAATAAGAACGATTGGTTCAGCGAACAGTTCTCTTTTAACATACTTGGTGAAAAGATAGCGTTCACTAGGTGATAACTCATATAGCACAGGAGATCTTTGCGAAATGTTGAACTTCAATAACGAGATGCGTGAACGAGTAGAGTCGGTAACATTTTGTGCATGGCGTTTAGGAGATTTCGAGTTTGAATAATTATGATTTCTTCGAAGAATTGTCCAAAAATTAAATAGGAAAAATACTAGATGTTTAGTACATATTTTAAAATCAATAAAACCTGTGCTCCATTAAACGCTATACACAAAATGTTACCGACTCTACTCGTTCACGTATCTCGTTATTGAAGTTCAACATTTCGCAAAGATCTTCTGTGCTATATGAGTTATCACCTAATGAACGCTATCTTTATATCAAATATATCAAAAAAAAACTGTTCACGGAACCAATCTTTCTTTTCTAATGTCTTAATCAGTGTATTCCGTTTACTAAAAACGTGTAGGTGAATTTTCTAAAAACATTATTATCATTTAAATAGATTTAAAATGAAAGTAAGGCAAAAGTTAATTAAAATGAAAGGAGATGATAATAATTTCCTTAAGAAAAGATTTCAGGCAAACATAAATGACATAATAAATTAAAAGTTAATATGTATGTATGTTCCTTATCATTTATCAAAACATTTCCGGTATACATCACATAAGGATATGTATACCTTTAAGGTTAAAATGAGAATGTGTATTATAATTTAAAGATTGAAATGTCATCTTTACTTGTTTATCCTGTTTATCATTATCATATAGATATCATGACCTTTTGTTTATCATCTCATTTTCAAAATGAATTATGTTATTGGGCGTATATGAAAATAATAGGTTACTAAGTAATTTTATTTATGAATGATACTGCTATTCATAAATACTATTGTTTTAATATTTTAGAATCATAACATAGATATATTTTGTTTATTAAATTAATAACGCCCAAGTTGGTTTTCCTCTTTAGATCAGAATATGTTTGTGTTTAATAATATAAATTCAATAGTTGATTGAAGCTAGACCACCATGGAAAACCTGGAAGCACTGGACGGCCGTTTCGTCCTAGTATGGGACTCGTCAGCAGTGCATATCCACGACCCCACGATCCTCGGGGTCTGAACCCAGGACTTATCAGTTTCGCGCGCGAGCGCTTAACCATTAGACCACTGAGCCGGCCGGCATCTAACGGTGTTAATGTCTAACCTCAACTAATCCACGAAATTGCATTGCCGTACACCATTGTCTTCAGTGAGCTGATATCTCACAACAGACCTGGTTGAACCTTACTGGTCACGGCTTCTCACTAGACCAGTGAAGCTTCAATTGATTCATGGTTCCAACGATTGAAATTACTAAAATCTCCACAAAACCCCTTCTGATAATAATATAAATGTTATGATTCACGTCAACATATTTTATTAAAGACTGTAACATAAGTAGGTTTGTTCTAATGAGATTTTTTTTGTTTTCTAAGGTTATTACTGAAATACTTGCTATTCCCTTTTGAATAAACTT